ATAATTCGAGAGTCCTGATTTTTGCAGCTGTTCACAAAACTGTAGTTGCTATTTGTGACTTCTATCTTCCAGTATCCGTTACATATTCCTTTTACTTTATGACAGTACCTCAACTATTTGGGGCTCTTTATCCAGTACAGTAATCCTAATCTACAAAAGTTTGTTCTTTGCTGAATAAAACGTATTCACTAGGTATACATATTACTCACTATGCCGATGGCTCAGATTTATTTGATCTGACTCAAAGTGGAATGGGATAAAAGTTAACATCCTGTACTTTTCTCTGAGAGCTTGAAACTGTGACACTACCTTTCTGTATGGAAAGAAGTGGAAACTGCCCTGATGTTGTAATGCTTAGTTTAATGTAACGTACTTCTAGGAAAAACAACTTGGGAATACATGCAAACTACATTGAATACACCTGTTCAGTCATACGCACCTGTAAGCTCTCTCCTGCCTGTTGCCACTAGGTGACAGCCTTTGCAAATATTTTATCTGAAGGGAACATCTTTCTGTTACAGACATTAGAGTCTGTTGGTAGATATGGTTACCATGCTAGTTTCAGCCAGAAGATCAGCCAAATGCTCATTATTTATTATAATCTACACTCTTAGTCATTTGAGATCATAGTTACTCCTCATCTGGCTCGCTCTCATCCTCTTAACTTAGTTTATGCTATAGACTGAATTGTGTCCCCTGCAAATTCGTATGTTGAAGCCCTAACTTTCAATATGTCTGTATTTGGAGATAGGGCCTTTTGGAGATCATTATATGAAATGAGGTCAGAAAAGTGGGGTCCTAATCCCATAGAATTGGTGGCCTCTTATGAGAAAAGGAAGAGAAAGAGAGCTGCTGTCTGTCTCTCTCTGCGCCAGAGAAAAAAGGCCACGTGAGCACACAGTGAGAGGGCAGCATCGGCAGGCCAGGAAGAAAGCCCTCACCAGGAAATGGGTGGGCCAGCACCTTGATCTTGGACTTTCCAGCCTCCGGAACTGTGAGAAATAAGTTCTCCATTGTTTAAGTATTTTGTTATTGCAGCCCAAGCAGGCTGTTTATACTCCATCTCATCCTTTTCACTGGAGAGGCCCTATGACTAATGGTTAAGAATATAGTCTGAGTTCTGGAGTCAGCATCTGGGTTCAACTGCAGGCTTTGTTACCTCCTCTGGTTGCTTTAACAAACTGTTTAGCCTCCATAAGCCTCAGTTTCCTGGATCACAAAATGGAATAATCAAAGTACCTAATTCAGTAGTTCATTGTATGGTTTAAGTGACCTAATACTTTTTAAACACTTAGCATAATGTCAGTAAATGGTAGCTGTTATTATTTCCAGCATGGTCTCAGCTCAAATGTCACTCCCTTGGGGACCCCTTTTCTGAATCTTTAGCTTAGGGCATGTCCTCTATGTACAGTTTATAGCAGCTTGTGCTTATGCTTTGAAACAATTATAATACTTTCTAGTAATTTGTCTAATTTATGTCTGCTTCCCTCGCTAAAATGTTAGCTCTCCGAGGATAGAAAAGGCCTATATATGTTTTGCTCGCTATAGTTTCTCCCAGCAAGTGTCTAATGTTTGGGTTGTGCTGGATGCTAAAGTCAGGTTTGATGAGTGAATGAAAAATGCAATTCATCAATTCAAGTGGGGAATCTAGAAACCTTCTTTGAGAGATCAGAACCGTCACTTGTAAAAAAGAAAAATTACTATTCTTAACCCTGAGTGAAAAATGCTAAAAGTTTACTGGTTTACATGAAACGAACTACACGTACCAGAGACAATACACTAAATAGGTAGTTTAGGATACTTGATACCCTCTGAAATTTTTTATGGCTTTATTCACCTTTGACAATATGTACCCCTCACTCGAACCAATATGTCTTCATGCAGAATTTATGTATTGGTGTAATTTTTATAATTCAAGCATTTTGTATTGTACTGGGGAACTTGGCATATAAAATAACCCTATTGAAGAGGCCTGTAAAGCGAAGAATCCTTGGCTGAAGTAAATGTTCACTTTTGTGTAAATACAGACTTCCATGTATTAAGTTCTCTTAAAGGAAGAGACACCCTCAATGAACTTAAAGATTTAAAACTCAAGTTTTCCTAATCTTTCACCATGTCTTGGACAGGTTTATCTATTTCCTGCAAAACAAATCTGGCACATGTCCTATTAATTTTCAAAAAAAATAGAACATATTTAAAAGGGTGTACAATTTTAGTAATCTTTAAAGTCCTTTGTTTATGTAATGGTCAAGTACGTGAGTAAGAAGACTCCACAGCCCAGTAATGGGAAATGTTAGTTATTTGTATTTAAAAGATAATTTTATGTTTTCAGAGTTCTCTCAAAATATGAGATATGAAAAAGTGCTTTGCAGTTTCTTTATACTTTATACAGACAGTGAAAGTTCCCTTTTTCCCTATCATAGTGATAAAAACTTAAGGCAGCCCTGATAGTAGATGTGATCCTTTCTTTGCATTAATCATTATTTTACCATTTACTGGCCTCTCTATTATCAGGCCAGTTGCTCAGCCTCTGGCTCATCACAAATGAACCCCATCAACCTCCCCATGATGTGCTGTGTGTAGGCAGTATTTGGCTACTTTTGATAAATTGGTCAGTCTTGTGAAATACTTCCCTGAGCTCGAGTTCTGGAACTTGTCAGGTGTCCTCTCTGACAGTCATGTCTTCCCTTGGCTCTCACATTACCCAACCAGCTGGGGTAAAGCCAGATCCTCCCACAAAGCATGCTTCTTTGGAATTCAGATCTATTGGCTTTTGGCACTAAAAAGCAATGCTCTTGCACTTTCTGTCAGA